CGTCGAGACTACGCTTTTCTGACACAGGAGCTTAAGAACAGACAAATAATTTTCAGATAGGACATACCGGTGGGCATAATTGTAACTGTGGCTGGTAAACGCTACAGACTCAACTTGATTAAGAAAGCCAATGATTTTATGGTGTCTGTTTTGCAAGCAGAATGCCCACCTACATTCCAAAGGATTGACGCAGCTGAGCAATTGAATGTGGACTTCCCCTCTGCTTCCGGTGCTAAGGATGTAGAGGGGAGTTTAAAAGCTGATGGAAAAGAACAAAGAGTGACTCGCGCAGCCCATAGACGTAAGGAGAAGGAAAGACAACTGACAGTCCGCCCTACAGCTGATAGCCCCACAGCTGACTGTCCGTCACCTGTTATTTCTGAGCCAGTAGGTGGCGCTCGACCTAAGGTCTTTGTTAAGTCTTATGCATCAAGTATAGTCATTGGATTGAAATCTGCTAATGTTTAAGCTTGCATCTTGGAATGTGGGAGGACTTAATATTCCCCATAAAAGACGTAAGGTTTTTCATTACTTAAGACATTTTAATAATGACATTACATGTTTACAAGAGACTCACATTGTGGCCAAAGATCAAAAATTATTATTGAATTCTAAGCTTGGAGATTTGTTTGTTGCATCTGCCTTAAAAAAAAGAGCTGGGGTTGCAATATATATTAAAAGACACCTATTTTAAAAGAAGTGGACAAAGAAGGAAGATTCTTATTTGTGGAAATAAATTTAAATGGAAGAAAGTGTTTAATAGTAGGGGTTTATGCCCCTAATCAACTTTCATCTCAAAAACAATTTTACAGACAACTATATCAGAAAATTGTGGCTATGGATTATAATTCTTTGATTGTTATGGGGGACTGGAATGGGGTACTTGATACGTTAAAAGTTAAAAGATAAAAAAACAATTTCTAAGGATGTGACCCTTTCCAGGCTCCCCAAATCTTTTTTTGCAATGATGGAAGATTTGGAGTTGGTGGATGTTTGGAGATCACAACATATGAATGAACGTGACTTCACTTTTTTTTCTCACAGACACGAGTCCTTTTCAAGGATTGATTTTGTTTTGACATCGACTGACTTGCTTACTGATTGTAATAAAACCAAAATTTTTCCCAGAACTTTGTCTGATCATAGTATGGTATGGATAGAGATTGGCCAACAAAGAAAAAGGAAATCTTGGAGAATAAATGAAAATTTGTTTAACTATGAGGATAAGGTTAAAGCTTTGAAGGAACGTATGGAAGAGTTTTTTCAATTTAACCTGAATAAAGAAACTCCTATAAATATTGTCTGGGATGCTAGTAAAGCTTACCTGAGGGGTATATTAATTGCTATGAATAATGCACACAAACGTAAGCAAATACAGATCAGATTAAATTTGGAAAAAGAAATTGGGATTAAAGAAAAATTATTACTGCAACGACCAACAGATACTAATTTAAAAGCTTCTATTAAAATGCTTAAAGACCAATTTAACTTGCTAATTGCTGATCAGGTGGCCACCAACCTGAAGTACATTAAACATAATACATTTGCTAATGCAAATAAACCTGGGAGATGGTTGGCCTACCAATTACGTAAGAGACAAAAAGCTAGACTTATATCTAAAATTTTGGTGAAGGATCGTGAGATTTATCAACAAGAATTAATTAAAAAGGCATTTACTGAATTCTATTCGCATTTATATTCTTCAGAGACTATAAAAAGTGAAGATATTGACAAATATTTACAATCTTCATCTATATATAAACTTACATTGGATCAACAGAAATTTATGAATGAAGAGATTACTACAGATGAAATTTTAAATGCAATTAAACAACTGAAAGCTGGTAAAGCCCCTGGCACAGATGGTTTGACAGCAATTTATTATAAGTCATTGTCAGCTGT